CCCCAGATGCTTCCTCCCGCTGCCTGGCCCGCGGGCAGGTGGCTCTCACTGGAAGCACAAACGTGACCGGCGCAGAGCCAGACTCGGGCCACGCCCTTCCCACAGACGAATGAAACACACCCCTTACATGGGGAACGGCGCCGCCATCCACCCGGGTGCTGGTGCCAGGAATCGGGCACCACCCTCGATTCTTCCCTTGGATCTCAGACTCCACCTTCCAGCAGCCCCTGCGGTGGGAACAGCAGATTTTAAAATACGTCCCGTCACCCTCTCGTTGCGGGGGCGGCTGCCACTGTCCTGGTCCAAGCCACCACCGTGCTTTCTCACCTGGCAGTGGCAGCCGCCACTTGTGTCCCTGCAGCTTGTTCTCCATGCCACCGCTAGAGCTGCCTTTGAAAACCACGGCCATGCCTGCTCTTGGCATGACGACATCCCTGCTTCTTGCCACGGGACCCAGGGCACGGCCCACACGTGACCCCCACCCCAGCTCCTCTGCGCACCTCCGACTTGCCTTCCCGTGTCGTCCCCCTGGCCTGGGATGTTCCTCCTGACATGGCCCCCCCGGCCAGGTCCTTCCTCGCCTTGATCAGACATTTGCGTACGCAGCTAGGGAAGTCTCGGTGCTTCTCGTCCCTCTGCAGAGAAAGGGCCAGTGGCTTGGGTTTTATCTTCCAACACATTACAGACCATTAACTGTACAATCTTCCATAAACATGGCTTATAGGAAAAAATAAGACAAGAAGACAGACACGATACAAGTCCCATTTTTTTGTTATTTGACTCAACAGTAGTAAAAATGCATTTTAATAAATGGAAATCAGAAACACCCCTGGGTGTTGTGACGAGGCCAAAGTTGCAAAGAGGTGTCATGAACAGCTGCTCTTGGCCCCTCTGCTCACGTCGCCGTGGGCTCGCGGTGCACTGTTGCTGCGCCGGTCCTGGCTTGTGGGCCTGCTGGGCTGGGCTGGGCTGGGCTGGCTCCAGGTTTCAGGTCAAGCGCCATGCCCCTGCCCCCGCCCCCAACAGCTCACCTGAGATCGACCCGTCCACACGCACCCCCGACACGGTTAGCGCAGCTGCTCTGCTCCCCATCGGTCTCCATCACGGCCCGGAGACCGTGTGACCGCGTGTGTCTCGGGCAGTTCTTGGTCTTGAAGTTGGTCTATCGCATAGCTGATGGTGATTTCTCCCGACCCCCTCTGGCTGCCGCGCTGCCCGTTGAAGGTGCCCCTGGCACCTGCCCATGCTGGGACTTCGGGGAGGGGCGGGGTAGGAAGCAGCTCTTTCTACCCTGCTCTCGGGGAGCACCCCCCAACCCCCAGCAGGGCTGCAGCAGCCTGAGGCCCCCACTGCCCGCTATACAATGCAACCTGCAGTTTCAGGGTGGGCTGGAGACCCGGTGGGGCGACCGTGTGAGTCAGGGTTCTCCAGAGACACAGAGCGAATGGAACACTAGCTAGATGGATGGCTAGGGAGGGAATAAAAGAGGACTTTGTTTTGGGGGTAAAGAAAGGTTTATGCATCAAGCAGGCACCAAGAAGATGGGAGAGCTGATGGTGCCTCAAATCCACCTTGCTCGCTGGACTAAGTTCAGGGTTTTGAGGGGCTGGGGGGAGAGGGGTGTGGTGACCCTGGTGGGGCAAGTTTTAAGTGAAGGACTTCGGAGCTCGGCTGTTTATGGTAAAGGGGCACTGACACCGCATCTCCCTGGCTCCATTCGGCCAAGGATTCCGGGGTCGAGTTCCAGCCGTGTCCTGGCCCTCTAGTCCCATGGGTGGGGGTGCGGGGGACTTCAGTTCTGGGCGCAGCCGGAGGTCCAAGTTCTCTCCTCTGCGTGTGCTTCGGCTGTGTGACTTGCAGTTTTGGTCTGTGGTCCCTGAAAAAGCAGCTCGGTACCTTGTTCAGCTGCACAGGGACATTTCGAGTTGGTTCCGTGGTTACAGATCCTCCCTTTGTTGTTCTTTCCTCAACCTCGAGCGAACCAGGGCAACCAGGTCCAGGTTCAATTACGAGGGAGGCATCTGCGCCTCATACTCCCCACACCCCAGTCTTCCAGCCTCACACACCCACTTTCCGGGTGGTCCCTGCGCCTCCGAGGGGGCATTCTGGGAGCTCGGTGTACAAGCAGAGACCACAGCGACAGCAGAGGCAGAAGAGGACATTTGTCATAGGAACTGGCTGGCGTGACAGTGGAGCCCGAGCAGTCCCACTATGTGCTGTCTGCGCACCGGAGGCCCAGGGAAGCCAGGGTGCGGTCCAGGCAGAGTCTGAGGGCCAGAGAACCGGGGGGCCGGTGCCCGAGGCAGGGGAAGAGGGGGCCGCAGCTCCAGCAGCGAGGGCGGAGTCGCCCTTCCCCTGGGAGTGGGAGACTGTTTGTAATCAGGGCACTTGGGCGGGAGTGTGGAGAGGCTCTCCTCTCAGAGGGTCTGACATGCAGCCTGTCTGAGACCAATCAGCTCCCTTTCCGGTGCCGCAGCGGCTGCTCGGGTGCTGATAGCGCAAAGCGGGAAGAGGTGGGAGGGACCGCGCTTTCCCAGTTAGCACTGCACTGGGCTGTCCTCCAGCTTCGCTGCACGTCCAGCACCAGGACTGGCCAGCCTTCTCTGTGTCCAGACAGGGGGTGTGGGGGTCTGCGTGGACGCAGGACAGAGGGGCGCTGTGCTCCAATCACACACTGGTGTGGGGACGGCGTGGGTTTGTGCTTCCAGTGCCCCACCCCCAGGCACAACGTGGCATTTGCTGCCTGACCCTGGGGTCCTTGGGACGCCCACCCGGACCCGGTGTCATGAACCGCTCGTACTGGAGAGACTGGGAGTCCCCAGCAGAAACGATCAGGGGCTGAGAGGTGGGCGTGGGACTGGGTGGGGGAGGCAGCTCTGTGGCCCCGTCAGGGCAGAGGGGGCAAGTTCACCGTGTCCCGGGGAAGCCCCGTCCGTGGAGAGGGTGGTGCCGCCCAGCCCCCAGAAGCAGCCTGACGGAGGGCAGAGGGCGCGGTGGGCGGCCAGAGCCTCTGCCTGCAGCCCGTCCTCCTGGGAGCCAGGCGGCGCCCATCTCCGGGCAGGGTCCCCCTGCAGGAATGACCATGGAGCCAGTGTGCGCCGGAGGGGACATCTGGCTGGGGGGACACTTCTGACTGGACCTTGTTCTTGCTGAGGGGCAGGGAGAAAATCCACCCGTAGGCGGTCACTCAGGAGTGGGGATCCGCATGGGGACACCCAGCCCAGGTCAGGGGCGGACCACAGGAATGCGGGAACCACAGGCACTGGGTGAACGTTTTCTTCCCCACACTGCCCAGCAGCTCCACCTTGTGGCTGGAAGGGCGGGGGACACAGGTCCCCAACACCCGGCCATAGCAGCACCTAACACGGGCAAGCCGCTTCCTCGGTGCCCTTCGCTCAGAAGTCCTCACAGCACCTCTAGCGAGCGGGGTCTGTTCTCCCCGTGTGGCAGATGAGGACACCAGTAACAAGGGGCGGTGACTTGCTTGAGGCTGTCGGCCAGTGAGAGCAGAGCAGCCCCATCCCGGCATCTGCCTCCCCAGCCCTCACCCTGCATCCGGCCTGCTGGGCGGACAGGGCTGAGCTGAAGGTGAGGGACAGGGAGAGAGGTTCCAGGGGGCGGGGGTTCTAGGGGCCTGGAATGCATCCGGGAGCGTTTTGGGAGGTGCTGCTGGTATTTCCCGGGCCACCTGGGGGTGTGGATAGCCCCCACAGTACACACAGTGTCCAGTGACAGCCCCACAGGAGGAGCCACCGCCTGCCCCAAATGCCACCGCACCCTGGTGAGGGGCTCATTGTCCACAGTCCTTGCTGGTCTCAGCCCAAGAAATTTCAGTGGTCCCTTGGAAAACCTTTAGGGGTATTTCCCAGGGAGAGAACTGGAATCTTGGTATGGGTTTGTTTTTTTTTCACACTTTTTTTTTTTGCAGGAAAAAAATACCTGCCCTTTCTTTTCCACACCTCAGATCAGCAGCTGCTGCATTTTCTTTTCTTTATAAATGTATTGATTTGAGAGGGAGGGAGGGAGGGAGAGAGAGAAAGAGAGACTTGTTGTTCCACTTATTGATGCGTTCATTGGTTGGTTCTTGGATGTGCCCTGACCGGGGATCGAACCTGCAACCTTGGCATGTTGGGACGACGCTCTAACCAACTGGCCTACTGCGCCAGGGCTGCATTTCCTTTTCACATTGTGTTAATGCTCCCCCTGCCCCAAAACTCAACCTTTCTCTCAATGAGCACCACGCACCTGTCTGCTCTGCCATAAAGCAGGGAGCAGAGGGGGCAGCGACGATGACCCCCTTCTAGCTGAGTCTCAGCCGAGCCTCCCTAGGACTCGGCGTCCAGGCCCCATGCCTCTCGACACCCACAACTGTTGCCAATCATTTGTAAGTGTTAAGAAACATTGTTCAAAAACAGCGTTGCAGAAGAATCTCTGTTCACGCGCCCCTGCCTGGGTTTTCCTGGCGTTATTCCGCTTAGAACTAGCAACTGCTTGGATCCAGGTCACCAGCTGAACCCCAGGGGGTTCTGCGGTCAAGCAAGGACCAGCCGGAAGTTCCAGGATCTCGGTTAGGGACACTGACCGGGGATCTGGACAGTCCACAGCCTCAGGAACGGGTGTGGGATGGCTGTTCCTTTCAGCAAATGTTTTGTCCATAAGTAGTTTTATTTACTACCTTGTCTGGCCCAGAATGCCGTGTATGATTCGTAGAAGAGCTCAGTGCTGCCTATTACATGGGCACCCCCTTTGTGATGTACAGCAAACCCCTCTTTGGTGATGCGCCCGATGAGGCCACGTGAGAGCAGGGTGCGCTCAGAGTGCCCTGGGCTCCCGTGAGGACACAGAAGCAGGGGCCGAGTCTGGGGCCACCAGCTGGCCTGGGGACGGCCGCGTAGGCACGACTCTCAGGAATGCGGTCTCCTGACCCGGTCTGTGGGAGGAGGGCTTCGTGCGGGGGGAGCACCTGGTGCTGAAACACTTATTCTTCCCCACCGGCCAAGTCTGCCCGCTGCCCCCGATGGTGAGTCACGGCGACTTCATCTGCCACCCGCGGCCTTGCGACCGCTACCACCACGGCACCGTCGTGGAGTTCTACTGCGACCCCGGCTACGGCCTCACCAGCGACTACAAGTACATCACCTGCCAGTACGGGGAGTGGTTTCCCTCCTACCAGGTCTACTGCATCAAGTCGGGTGAGTGCGGGCCTCGGCCTGCTGGGGGGCCCGGGGCCCGCAGAACGGTGTTGCCGTAGGTGAGACGTGCTTTCGCTTATAAACACATAAGCTGGGGGTGGCCTTAAGTGCTTGCTGGTTAACAGCAAGTTCCTAGCAAAGCAGCCTCACCGCTGGTCTCGGGGCACCAGGGCAGTGGCCCCATGACAGAGACCCGAGCACCAGTGACCTGCCCACTCAGACCATGTTCTCTAGGTATGCCCGTGGCCACCCGCCCGAGCAGTGGGGTGGCATGCACGCTCTCCCCCTGGGCACAGCGGTGTGACCTGGGCACCGGGAGGCCCGCAGGCGGTCAGGTGAACCAGCAGGAGGAGGGGTCGGAGAGGGTCTATGGGACTGCTCCTCAGCGAGGGGAGGGGAGGGGTAGGAGGAGACTTCGGCAGCCACAGAGGTGACGTGTGAGACACGGGGCGGCTCATGTCAAAGGGACAGGGCTCTATTTTGGAAGGGTTGCCTTGTCTCCCCTTACTTGGGAGACGTGACCCCCACAGAGGCACGGCCCTTCTGGCCTCCTGTGTCTTTGCTCACCCCACTCCGTAGCCTGTTCTGGAACACTCACCAAGGCCCTTAGCTCAGCTCCCCTCCCCCCCATCTCCTGGTCCATTGCAGGACGTGACTTCTCCAGGGGAGAGGAACCCCCTTTCCTCCTCTGCCCCGGAAGCAGGCACGTTACTCAGCCCCGGGCCTGGTTCTCACCCTGGTCCAGAGTGTGAACCTGCAGGTCTGCCTTGGAGCTGGCAGAGACCCCGCTGGGGGCGGATGTTAGCACAGCAGCAGGGTCCTGACGCCGGCCCGGGGGGTACACGTGATGAGCAGCTCCTGGGCCAGACTCCTGCAGCCCGAGGGCACGTGGGAACCTTCCCGCTGCCACAGTCTGGGAGCCTCATGCACCCCTTTGTTCTCTCTCCCCCCTCCCTCTCTCGGCAGAGCAAACGTGGCCCAGCACCCACGAGACTCTCCTGACCACGTGGAAGATTGTGGCGTTCACGGCCACCAGCGTACTGCTGGTGCTGCTGCTCGTCATCCTGGCCCGGATGTTCCAGACCAAGTTCAAGGCCCACTTCCCCCCCAGGTCAGTACCGCCCACAGCTGCCGATCGGGCTCAGTGCAGCCACCTAGAGAAGCAGAGAGAAGAGGGAGATCCAGACCCTCGATGAGTGTGGGGTCTCGCAGAGAATACAGGGAGAGCTAAACACTCTCCTGGGACGTTTTGGGGGTGTCTGGGGGTCAGAGCACCAAGCTGGAGACAGACCTCCTTTCCCTCTCTCGTGCCCCCCCCACCTGCCGTGAACCTGTGTCTCCCTTCTCCCCTGGTAGACGGTTCTCGAGGGGCATCCTGGGTGTGTGTGGGGGGGGGAGCACAGCGACAGGGCTGCATGCTGTGCCTGTCCCCCAGGGGTGCCGTGTCCGTTGCCACCTGCGTGTACGTGGCTCTGGAGCTATGTCCCTTGGAGCACCCAGTGCATGGGGAGGACGGGAACCACACAGGAGACACGGCCAAAGGCGTGTGGCCCAGCAGAGGTGCGGGGACTGTGGGCCGTGAGAAGTCTCAGGGAAGGACGCTGGATGGGACATCAGGACAGGGCTGCCCCTCCTCTGCGACCGCCCAGACTCGCTTGGCTTGGTGTCTTCATCCACTCGGCTTTGGGCCGCTGGCCGCCGTCCACAGAGGGGAGACCCTCACGTTCCCTGTGGGACAAAAACGTGCCCCCAGCCCTGCTGCCGGCAGATGACCGTTCAGGGCACCAAACGTCACAGGGCACAAGCCAGGCCCCTGCCGGAGGAGTCAGCACTCCCTTGGATTCTGCAACCCTGTCCGTCGTCTTCTTTAGGGACCTCGTGCATCCGAAAAGGGCACTTGTTTTCGCCCGCGGGGACCGACCAACCCCCAGGGCGGTGCCTACCACCCCCTGGAAAGGGAACGCTGCCCAGTGGGGAAGGGGCTGCCGTGAGCCGGGTGCGAGCCACCCGCCTCCCTCAGCAGCCCAGAGCGAGTCGCAGCCGTTCTGGTGCCAGACCCTTCTTTCCTCTCACACCTGCCGCCCGCCCTCTTGGCCCTCAGCGTTACTATTTATGAACCGAGGGACCGTGCTCTCTCATTGAGCGATTGCACTGCCCGAAAGAGGGCCCGAGGATCACCAAGAGAAAGCTAGGCTACGCGCTGTGATTCATGGCACGCTGGAGCTCATTAAAGTGGCCCGGAGAGCTATTTTTCTACAGCTGCTTGGGAAAAAAGTTATATTGCCTAAATATTAAGATTTTTTAAAGCCTCACTGAGGATACGTTCATTGACTTGAGAAAGAGAGAGAGAAATGCTGATGTGAGAGAGAAACAGCACTTGGTTGCCTCCCACGCGCGCCCTGACCGGGGATGGAACGGGAAACCTTTCCGTTTTCGGGGCAAGGCTCCAGCCGGCTGAGCCACCCGGTCAGGCTTCGTCATGGACACTTTAAAAACCCTGACAATTGTTTCTCTGACAACTGAGCTCCCCCTGGGCTCGGCTCCACGGGGTTCAGACTGTGACAACATGCAAAGGGCCAGGGCCAGGGCCAGGAGCTGCACGGGAGCCCCGTAAGGGCCCGCCTGCAGAGAGGGCAGACCGTGGGCCCACTCCCAGGATCCCTCGCGGCAGGCCGCACGTGCACAGCTCACGTTCAGGCTGGGTCGGCTGGTGGAAGTGAGGATGTAACTTGAAGCAGGTGGTGAGATGATGCTCAGAGCCCTCTTCCTGTTTCCTGTTGTTGTTTTTCTGTCTTGAAGAAATATTAGTGCTTTTATATGCTGTGACAGGAAGCAGAAAGGCATAAGAACCACAGGGGCCAGCTGTTGCCTGTGGCATGTAGGGTCCCAAGTTTCCTATGCTCTCAACGGTGTTGCTTTGTTACCAGCAGCCTCCCCCTGGGACACCACGGAGGCACCCTGACGCTGTTGGAATGGGCCGCATCGTCCCCTGCCCACGAGGTTGCAGCCAAAGGGCCCAGCCCAGAAGTCAGAGAGGGAGGCCGGAGGTGTGAGGAGGGGGCAGAGAGGACAGGCTGGAGGGCACAGGACAGGAGAAACCGCCGCTCTCCTGAGCGGCCGGCTGTGGCGGCAGCACCACCTGCCAGAGGCGGCCCCAGTGGGAGGCTGGGTTCTTCCACACCGTGTCCCCGGGGGATCTGCCGCCCGCCTTGGGCCCTGAGGACCTCAGCTGTGGTGGGGGCCCCGGGTGGCTTCACCCCTGGGCTGGAGTGTCACTCTGACACATTGGCACCACTTTTCCTTGCCCAGGGGGCCTCCCCGGAGCTCCAGCAGCGACCCCGACTTCGTGGTGGTGGACGGCGTGCCTGTCATGCTCCCGTCCTACGACGAGGCCGTGAGTGGCGGCATGAGTGCCTTAGGCCCCGGGTACCTGGCCTCTGTGGGCCAGGGCTGCCCCTTGCCCGTGGACGACCAGAGCCCCCCAGCATACCCCGGCTCGGGGGGCATGGACACAGGCCCGGGAGAGTCCGAAACCTGTGACAGCGTCTCGGGCTCCTCCGAGCTGCTCCAGAGTCTGTATGCGTCTCCCGTGTGCCAAGGGGGCCCTGCGTCTGACAACCCTGACTCAGCGGCCTGCACGTCGGGGGAAGTGGCTTCCAGCAGCCCTGGCATCGACATCGCAGATGGTAAGTGTTTGCCCCGAGACCTGAGCGCCCTGCACACCCCTCTGCACCCGGCATCTTGGAGCCAGCACAGCGTGAGATCCATCTGTTCCCCTCTCTCTCGGCTTAAATTGCCCCTTGCTTTCTCTGTGTGGAGAGGCCATGGGCAGGGCCAATTAGGAGGAGGAGGGGTCATCATCTCATAGGCGATGAGCCCATTAGCTGAGATCTCAGGAGGCACGGAAGGACACGGAGCCATCCAGAGCAGAGGGGCTCCGGCGGCCGGCACTTGGTTTTCAGAGCCTCTTTACGGTCCAGGCTGCTCGTCTCGTTTGTCCCTTCATTAGGCAGGACTTCTGCAAGGGGTGCCCAGCACGGGAGTGACACACAGGCCAGGAGGGAAGACCCACGTGCATGCGAAGGGGCCAGGGCCCATAGACGTTCCGGACCCACGCGGGTTATTTTCACGGGGTGGAAAGTAGAATACGCATGTCTGCCCGTCACGGGGAGCGCAGCCTGCAGCTCGTGGTAAAGCAGGAAAAAATGTGTCCAGCTGAATGGGGCTGTTTCCCTGGGCGGGGGCTACCAGCTCCACTTTGCAAATGAGACGCTAATTCCAGCGCGTCGAGGCAGTAAGTGGCAGTGACGCTGCGGGAACAGGGGTCTCCTGGTCCCTGCCGACGTCCTTTTGTGCGGCTCCTGGGGGCTGCCTCTCGGCCCCGGAATGCGCCACCTCTTGGCTCGTCTGACCCCGAGGGGCCACGGTCAGAATCGAACATCTCCGTGTTTGTGAGCTGGGGCTGAGACTTCCCCGCAGACGGACGGTGGACGGAGGAGTCGGTGTGTTTGATTACTGACTGATGGGTGGCCGTTCCCTTCTCCTCGCTGAGTCCAGGACTCGCGGATGTTCCGCCAGAGCTTGGGGTCACGGCCGGCCGCGGCGTTTTCGTTCGGCGTGCTAACCCCTACCCGTGTCTCCTTGCGCAGAGATCCCGCTAATGGAAGAAGACCCGTAGCCAGGCCGGTCTCCGGGACTCGACTGCCCCTCCGGGAGCGGGGACCCTGTACCTCGGAGCGAGGCCACGGGAGGACGGAGTGTGCAGCCTGGGGGACGTGTTGCGTTGGGCTCTGCGCGGACAGTGACTCACGTGGTCCGCCGCGGACTCGACAGTGGGGGACAAACACGGACAGACCGCGGTGGCAGGTCTTTGCAGTGGGACCTGAGGATTCGCCAAGACCCAGGGGAAACCCCCGTGTGGGCCAGGGGGCCGGCGTCCGGCGCCTTCCGTGCTGGCGAGCACGAGGGAGTTCCCCGCACGTGCCGCTGAGCCCCGCGTCCCACGGACTTCAGTCAAGAGTACTACCTGCCTCCTCCGAAAGCATGTCACATTATGTAAATTTGCTTCCCAAGTCTCCTTCGAACTGTCTCCGGTTCCCAGTTAGGCTGGATCAGCCTGTGCGGGAAGCGCGGCAGAGCGCCCCCTGGAGGCTCCCAGAGGGAAGGTTCTCCTAGGACGTTTGGGGGATCTTCCCCCACCTGGACACTCGTACTCACGCAAGGCTAAAAGCGGGGTGTGGCAGTCCCGGGGAGAAAGGACAGACTCAGGCAGACTCTGCTTTCTGGAAACTTCTTCAAGAAGTAGAGCGCGTGTACTCCGTGCTGTCCTCTGGTGAAATGGCGTCAGTATTTGTGTTCTTGGTCCAGCACCGGGATTTACGGCATCGGATAAACCCTGAGACTTCACACCCGGTCAGAATGTGTCCCACCACGTCTCACGGCGGAGAGAGTGGCCACGGTGACGTTCTGTGGCGGCATTTTAAAGAGGGGCCACACGACTTGGATCTCCGAGTCACCAGCCCTCCCCTGTGAGCTGTTATGGATGTTGTCCTCACTTCCAAACTCAGCCATATTTTATTTCCCAAAACAGAAATTGTTTCTGTACACACCTCCCTCCTCCCAATAAAGTGTGAGGCTAGATTTGTTTATTTTTTTCCTTTTATTGTTGCCCTGCCAAGCCCGCAGGCTGGCCCCCCAGCCCAGGCCCAGCTCTGAGCTCGTACTTCTAGGTGTTGTTTGTAAGAACGTGACGGACACAAACAGTTCCCCGTGTCCTGGAGGGTCTCTTCAAACACACGTGGCTCCACGGAGCTGCTTCCTCCCCTCCCCTGGGTTTTGGAGACACGCAAACAAAACTCTGGTCCACACCGTCACCGTGCTGAGAGAGCCGTGAGAGCTGGAAGGGAGACCAAATCCTGCCGGTTCCCGAGTCAGACTGATTAAAAACGTAAGAGGACATGTCAGTTTGCAAAGCGTGGCTTTCACGGTGGAGTGGAGCCGGCCGGCAGGGAGGGGCAGTGGCCGTGAGCAGGGGTGGCAGGGATGCCTGTCGGGCCAGCGCCCGAGGCTGGACGAGGCGACGGGCAGTGCCAGCCGGGCCGAGTGCCCTGGGACGTGAGTGGCTGGGCAGCACCGGGCACGGGGGTCACAGGCAGTGTTTAGTAACTGTAACTTTGTTCCCTGCCGGCCTCTCCTGCCACGGGCACCGCTTTGTACCGCGAGCCCCACAGAAGGAGGCGGTTTTCATGAGTGTTTGTGCTTTAACGCCACCTCGGCGCCGCAGAGAGAGATGACGTGGGCGGGTGGCTGATTGGACGGGAGTGGGGGCGTCCAGGGGCCACTCTGGGCCGCCGCCTCCAGGCAGCCTTCCCAGAATCCCTGTCAGGCCAGGTCTCCAGGCTTCTCCATGCCCACACCTGTCTTCCCTCCCAGGGCCCCTACGTGGAGGGCGTGTCTCAGAGGCCACCAGATAAGTGCCTCATTTCCCCCCAGACAGGCGGGAAGATGCCTGGGAGGCTGCCTCCAGGCCTGACCTCCCCTCGTTCCAGAAACTTTCTCCACCCCGGGAGACTGCAGCGGCCTGCTCCCCCCCACCCCTACCCCCACCCCCACCCTGAGAGCCGAGCACCTGCACGGACACCTGTGGAGCCCCCACACCTGAGGGACAGGTACCACGCACGTCAACATGGTCCTAACAATCGAGGCTGGCAGGAGGAAAAGACCCGCCCAGTGGCCCCATCTGCAGACAGCGCCTCACCAGGTCACCTGGACCCCCCCCCTCGGTCCCTTTTGTTTGCAGACGCCCACCAGTGTCGTGTACGGTGATGTCTTTATCTGTTTCACTCGAGTGGGCTGCGGTGGCAGGAAAGAATCCTCGTGACGCCCCGAGCAGGGTTTGATTCTGGCTCTTTATTCATTTCAAAGTCTCAGGAGGCCCTCCGGGCATGAATGGAATCAGTCTTTCTCTCACCGCCTCGGGAGTTAGTGAGTGGGTGGGAGCACACGCCGGCCCTACCCTCGGGAATCGTGCCCAGAGCTGTGGTGTGGAGAGAGAGGAGCAGCCCTGACCCAGGTGCTCCCTGCCCTGGGGGCGGGGGCGAGGGCGGCACCTGCAGTACCAAGGTCGGAAGCCTGCGGTGAGAACCCGAGGGTGCTGTGCCCGACTTCTGCCTGCGCTGTTTGCATGAGCAGGTCACTCAAGGAGCCACGGAGCGGCAGGGTTCTTTCTGGCTGGTGTTCTCCTGTCGCAGGCGCAGCAGGAGTCACAGGACATCTTTGCCCTTGGCTGCCACGTAGCCTCTTTTAACTGCAAGGCTGTGGTTTGCTGGCGTGGGTTCGTTAGGGCCACGGCACCCTAGTGACAGCCGTCCCCGCAGCTGGCGCCCGGGCTGCTTGCCTCCCGTTCCTGCAGAACTACTATAGCCCTGGCCGCACAGCAGGGCCGGGCCAGCGGGCCTCAGACGCAAAGGCTCATGGGCTACCCCTGCTGGGTCCAGATGCCCATCTGCTCCTTCGCTGGACAGCCCTCCCCGACTGGCCCGGGTCCCACAGAGGCAGCGAAATCGCTTGGCAGAGACTGGGCTTTACAATGGGCAGCACCTGGCTTCAAAGCCTCGCTCCGCCCCTAACTGGTGTGTCCTTGGACCAGCACCTGCCCTGCCCGGGCCTCGGTGTCTTCCTGCAGAAACTAGAGATAATTCCCTCTGGCTCCCTCACCTGTCTGTGGCGCGGGTGACAGCTGATGGAAGTCACAGCGCACGGCAGGTACTGGGTAAGTGGCAGCTGGTCTCCACTTGTGGCCCAGTGTGAGGGAGGGTGTCGTGTGGGTCATCCAGTCACACATGCGTCCTTAGGCTCCTCTGAGCTGCCTGTCACCCTCTGCCACCCTCTGACGTGTGCACAGGCGAAGCTCACTTCGGGGCTGCCCCACGGGGCCCTCCTCCCAGGAGCCCCTCCCCGGCTTCTACGTGCTAAGCTGTCCTGCAGGGGGAAATTGTCAGTCTGTGGCCTTTGTCCCTCCACCCTCCCGCCCCACTCAGCCCTTTCTGACTGCTGTGGACAGACGGCTCTGCTCAGGGAGGGTGGGACAACCTCAGCGATGTCCCCAAGGACTCAGGAGGACTCAGCTCACCTCCGCAGGCAGCCTGGAGATTTACACTAGCCCGCTTCCCTAATTTTATCATCTAGTTTGGATTTAAACCATAAACATTTCTGCCCATGCATTTCCAAGGTGATAAAGTGGGAGGGCCACGGTCAGGATGTGTGGCCTGGCAGCACAGGGCCCTGGAGAGCAGTGGCCACTGTCAAGCCGGGCAGCGCTGTGCACGGTGGCCTTGAGATCATAAAACTTAACGCAGAGGCATCGACGCAGTTGTGTGTAACAGCCCACGGCAGCACATCAGCTCCACGCCGGGCAGAAACCAGGCCCCGGGGACCGCAGGGCACAGTGTGGGTGGCCCCGTACCAAAGTAGGAGCCTCACTCGCGTGGTCAGAGCCTGCGGGGACCCTGGGCCCTGGTCCTCCCAGGCCTGGGAATGAAGAAACCAAACATCAGCAGAAGTATATAGAATTATGGCACGGGGGGGATGAGGTGGAGCCTGAAGGAATAGTGAGACTAATATTTTCTGCTTGGAGGCTGGGAGGAATATTTATAGACCCAGTTACAGTCCATAAATAGTTATTAAGCACCTGCTGTGTGCTGGGCCCTGTCTGTGTCCTCTAGGCCAGTGGGCAGTGAGGGCTGGTGAATACAGAGCTGCAGACTGGGAGCCAGGAAGCACAGGACCTGGCCCCAGGCCCAGGCTCTGGTGAGGTGTCTTCAGGCAGTGGCAGTGCAGCTGGGAGCAGGGGGCACGGGGGTGCCTGGAGGTGCAGGGAGAGCTGGGAGCAGGGGGCACGGGGGTGCCTGGAGGGGCAGGGAGAGCTGGGGGCAGGGGGCACGGGGGTGCCTGGAGGGGCAGGGAGAGCTGGGGGCAGGGGCACGGGGGTGCCTGGAGTGCAGGGAGAGCTGGGGGGCAGGGGGGCACGGGGGTGCCTGGAGGTGCAGGGAGAGCTGGGGGGCGGGGGCACGGGGGTGCCTGGAGGGGCAGGGAGAGCTGGGGGCAGGGGGCACGGGGGTGCCTGGAGGGGCAGGGAGAGCTGGGGGCAGGGGCACGGGGGGTGCCTGGAGTGCAGGGAGAGCTGGGGGCAGGGCGCACTGGGAAAGGGAGAGTCGTTCTGTGCTTCCTCGGGGCCCTGAGGTCCCAGGTGAAGCGCAGGCTGCAGAGAGGGGAGGGGGACAGCATGGGAGAGAGATGGAACTGGAGAGGGGACTCAGGGCCTGGGGGCCACACTCAGGAGGCCAGTGGTCCCCTTAGAGCTCGAGAAGCCAGGGGGTTGAGAAGGAGAAGTGAGCGAGTGGGAGAGCCATGCTGCCCACTCGACTTTGGGGAGCATGGGCCTAGGAGTCAGGGGCACCCAAACAGAGCTCAGGGCTGCTGCTGGGTCCCTGGGGGGCCCTTCCAGGCCCCGGGGTCTTCACCAGTTCGGTCAGAGGCACAACAGATGGTCTCCAAGGTCGCTTTCAGCTCTGATGGGGTGAAAATTCTTGTTCCTTGCTTTTAAAAAAAACCCAGAGTCAAATACCTGCGTCCTGTGTCCCCACCAATGGTGGGTGGCACTCCTCCCAGCTGCTTCTCCGGCCGGCGCCTGGGGCTCAGGAGCAGCACCCCCAACACCGCTTCGGGAGGGGCTACCCTCCAGGAACTCTGCAGCTGCCTCTAGCAGGATGCGGGTAGGGACACGGGACACCAGCCGCAGCCGTCCTGGCCTCGGGGGCAGTCCCCTCCGCCCCTTGGTCGGAAGGAGCAGGCGTGAACGGTACCCGTCCTGGAACCCCAGCAAAGCCGTGAGATTGATTTTGCCCAGATTGTGTTGCATTTCCTGTTCTAGGACGCGCGTGCACCTGCTGTGTATTTCATGGGGGATTAGGGGCGGGGCTGGGGAGGAAGCAGATACTCTTGGGAATCAGTCCTCATGGATATCATGGGACGTGGGGGCAGACCCCCTTTGGAGAGCCGTCTACAGGTTGGCTTTCGCCCCTGCCGCCCCCGGACCATCAGAAGGGCGAGGCCCTAAAGAATGCGGCCAGCCGGGCACGACTTCATGTTGATTTATGATCGGACCGTGGCTGGTGCCAACCGCCACCGCTTCTGCATCTTATCAGCCGTCTGCTTAGGGACTGAGTCAGATGCTTGTCTAACTGCAACACCAAGTTCACAAGTTCATAGGTCAAAGGCCACCTTCTTCATTTTGGTCCAGCTCCGTCTCAGACCAGCGCGTCCGGGCTCTCAGGAGCACTCCGGCCCCCGCAGGTCCTCGCAGGTCCCCAGCGCTGGGTTAGCCATGCCAGCTGTGGGTTTCCTGGGGGTCTGCAGTGGGCACTTGGGCAGCGCTGTCTGCTTAAACCTGTGGGCGCCGAAATGCGACGGGCCTGGGGCTCAACGTCAGCTCTGCCACGGGAGCCAGGTCGGGGTGTTGAAGCCTCGCGCCCCGCCCCCGCCCCGCCGTGAAGCGGGGACAGTGACAGCGCCCCCTGGCGGTTTGCTGATGGAGTAAACAGGACGCCGGCACAGTCCGCTCGGACAGCGCCCCAGAACAA